TACATATAAACATAAATTTATCCATCCATACATACATACATACACACACACATACATACAAAAATGCTGCATGCATGCATGTATACATACATACATTACATACGTACATACATATATACATACATACATACATACATACATACATACATACATTACATACGTACATACATATATACATACATACATACATACATACATACATACATACATTCATACAAACATACGTACGTACATTCATACGTACATATATATATATATATATATATATATATAATTACGCACACCTCAACTCACCATGACTAAACACCGTGCGATGACATGCAGCGTTGCGCAGTTGTCCAGCCACCCTGGCCACTTCCTTATAGTGTGTTGCTGCCAACGTACGACATGCCGTGTGGTCGTGCAGATGCTCAAACACCGCCGACGCAATCGCCATCCCATCGTATGTGGACGTTCCTCGCCCAATTTCATCCAGCACCTATTGTCAGAAGAGCTGGGGTTTGTATCACTTCCAATATGTGACCTTGAACAAGAGGGTACACACACAAGCAGGACACAGAAGAAATACGCAGTGACCACTCAACTTACCACGAAGGAGCGGTGCGTGGCCTTCTGGAGAATACGCGCCGTTTCCATCATCTCCACCATGAACGTGGACATGTGACGCGAGATGTCATCGCTAGCACCCACACGCGCAAACAGCTGGTCGCACACGCCGATGGTTGCACTGCCAGACAAGTAGAGGTATGGTGTATTAGTGTTGTGCAGAAATATATGTACTTATATTGTGAAACGCCATTCAATATACGAGACTATATCCGATATGAATGCACATATGTTAAAGAGATGTTGTCGCAAGAGCCCACCACAGAAACGATTGGTCGGACACACTGATGGCTGCACTACTAGATCGATGGAGATTATGGTATAGAAGCTGCTGATATGCCAAGGAACGGAATTGCGAGCATGATCAGCATATGCTAAACGCCTGGTTAAATTCATCTACTCGTATATGCAGATATTATAGATAGATATTGCGTACACACAGGTATCACGCATATACAGATACATATTCTTAGCTGTTTACATATATGTTCAGAACTACCTTCTGGCCGGCACAAAGCTTCCAGCCTGGGCCATGATAATCATGAGGGCGTTCTGTCTCAAGAAGGTAGACTTCCCACCCATATTAGGGCCCGTGATGAGCCACATCTTCTGCTGACTCAGATGGCAGTCGTTTGCGACAAACGACGCGTGGTGTCGTAAATTCGCTTTCTGCACAGCCGCATGATATCCACCTACCACTTCAAACTCTGTGCCTGTGGTAACTTCTGGGCGACAGAATCCGTGCTCATCAGCTACTACAGCCAGACTACTAGCCACGTCTAGGCTACTCAGGGCACGCGCTGGGGGGGGGAGGAGAAGAGTGTTATAGTTAAAAGGTACGCTGTTTACATGAAAAGAGGGATGCACATTCAGCAACGGGCACGATTTGATATAGACTTCCCGATGTCCTCGGATATAAATATCTTATCAGCTACCACAGGCTGTAAACTGGTCACGTCCAGGCAAATCAGCGCATAAGCTGAGGTGACAGAGCGAGGAGTTATATGCAAAAGGTACGTAAATGCACATACAAAAAGTAATATAGACACAATCAAGAGCACGAGCCATATGATAGTGCCATTTGTTGGACTCCTTCGCTGAAAGTACACACAACGAGTTCGCAGAAGACGCGCACTCCCTAGCAGGATATGCATAGGAGTGCGGGCGGTAGATACAGCAGGAGGCGACGACGAAAACTAACCCATGGCCGCGCCATGCACATGGACTAGAGTAAGCATTAGGAAGCTGTCACAAATTAGAACGACGATGGTGTCTACTCACCCCAACACCACACAATACACCACATAATAAAAGCCATACAATAAAGGCAATGTATAGCCACACAATAAAGGCAATGTATAGCCATACTAACAAAGGCAATGTATAGCCATACGATGGGTGGATGTTGAACAGGGCACCAATATACCTGATTGGATAATACTGTGCGTATGGTCGCACGCCACATCGCATAGCCGAACAAATATCCGCTTTTGCCTGTCGGCCAACTCACGCTCGAGACTCCTGAACTCAGTGTCGAGCGCGTCCAAGCGTCTGGAGGAGAAGCGTTTGATTTGCGATGTGCCCTCCAACTCACGCAATGCTTCTTCCGAGGCTACCAGACCATCGATGCACTCTTTCTCCTCAGTCATGTGCCTGAGAGAGGATGATGAAAGGACACACTAGGCACTTTAATGTCAGGACATACAATGGCTACCCGAACATATGCGTTCCCGACAAGAAAGGTTTAATCAGTGAATGTCGCACAATGCCACTACAAAGCATAGCAAGGCATCGCCGACCGCTTCTTCCTCCACTCCGTACCTTGGAAAGGATGCAATCGGCTAGCATACAGAACGAAGACAGAACAATCTTACGATGTATTATACACACACACACACATAAATATATATATATATGTTTGCTCCTGTAAAAACACACAGACAAATGTTTAGAAATTCATGTAGTGTACTGTGTCACACCTTTTAGAGATCTCCAATATCCAGCCTTGGCGTTGATGGCGTACAATTTTGACTCGAGATGAGGGACCGAACATCTCCAGACGTATCCTATCCATGTGTCGAACTTCGAGATCAGATATGCGCTCATTAAGATTGTCCAATTCTGTTCGTTCATGCATCCGGGTTTAACATGTGTTAATGATAAGAATTACGAGCATTTGTGTGCGAACTTTAGCATGGCGTGGAAAAGACTGAGATAGTGGATTCCTGCGAAACGTATTTTGCGACAAATTCGTGGATAACCCGATTTTAGAAATCTGGACCTACTCCAGACGTTTAAAATAGATGACTTTGACATTTGGCGAGATTTGGAGAGCTCAGGGAGAAATTGAATAATCAGCGGACAGGATGCAAATATGAATAGACAATTCTCAACCTCAAATATTTGAATAATTCCCCAAGAAAATAAATATCTTCACAAAAAATTGGCAACTCAAATAGAAAGTTATAACTTGTGTCTGTACACACCTGCATCGTATCCCTGTGGTACCCCCATGATGCTGTTCTTCACAAAGAAATCAGGATCTGAACGGTCCAAGTTCTGCCATTCCGGACTTTTGGAAAGGGCATTCGAGGCTTCCACTAGCCCGCCCACGTGTGTGAGTAGCTGTCCCAAATCAGCAAAATTGGGTCTGGTATCGTCCGCTTTGTTTCCAGCTAGTATAGTATCCGATAGCTTCGCACAGAGTGACATAGTGGATGCCAAGGCTCTGTCGTTTTGGAGTGGTCATATCGACCAATGAAATCATAAGTTTGGATACTTGGGCGATCAATACTCCTTTACCCTAGCTTTGTGGCCAGCCAACAAGTCATCAAGAACTTCGCATTGAGAAAAATGATGTATGCAAAGGTTCGGTTGCATCGAACAGCCATACAAATTGTTATACACTTTTTAGGGATCTACAAATAAAGTCTCCAGGAACATCGTATGACTACGGTTTTCAGAATAGAATCAATATGTTCTGTGATTATCACTTTCAATATTAAAGAATGATAGACATTGAAATCAAGGGCCGGGTTTTGCAGCTGATACGCAATATATATATATATATATATATATATGTGTGTGTGTGTGTGTGTGTGTGTGCATATC